CTCTGCCTTATCCCCACATCCCTTAATCCGTTTTGCAATAAGAAATCTATCCATTTCAATCCTGAATATGTTCAAGAATTGAGCTTCAACAGCACTTTGGGGCAGTGAGCTCCACACATTCACCACCATTTGAGTGAAGATATTCTTCCTCAAATCAGTGCGAAAGGACTGCCTCTGATTTTAAGATTCTAACCACTGGTTTTAGTTTCTCCAACCAGGGGAAACAATCTACCACGATCTATTCGAACATGCACTTTCATGATCTTGTAGCTTTCTCTAAGATCGCCTCTAATTCGTCTATTATGATACTGAAAAAACTGCAGCTACCCGGAGAGATGACGAGGAAGGAAATTGATTTCCCTGTCTGACTACGCTCTAGCATTAGATGGTGATACTCAGAAGGGTGAATGAGTAATAAAATCAATGACAACGGATTCAGTAGGGAATTATTTATTTGCAAGAACAAATACAAAGGGAATGAGAATGTATTCTTCTATTATAAAACAATCTCGAAATATGGCTCCGAGTATTGATGCGAAGTGAAAGCGGAGAAAGAAATGCAGATTGTTTCTTCTTTTGTTGAAAACGTAAGAATGTTTTAACTGAATACTCTTGGAGCTGTAATACCGCGGTCAGCCAATGTACGGGGGTGATGTAATGTAAACACACGAAGGAATTACAGTGCGGCCTCGCCAACTGCTGGACATGCGCTTGTCCTGCAGGTCTCAAAGCCTCTTCAATCTGCCTGGAGTTGGGGACATTTTAAATTCCTCCTCATTTCAGTGAGTGATTATTGACAACTTTGAGCAAATAGAACACTGGGGATAAGTAGCCCTGCAGGGGTTCAATTGGGACGCCTTTCCGACCTGAAGGGCGCTACATAAGTGTAATTTATTGGTGTACACTATCCCAGTTGAACCCCAGCAGTCCTGCACACTGTTGTTGCCACGTCCCTTCCAGCCGCTCCCCATCCACAAACAAATCCACACACAGCTCCTCCCATCCTCACCCACACAAAGGCCTACCCATCCTCACCCACACACAGCCCTTCCCCCTTATCAACCACACTCATTCCCTCCCGCTGATCACCCCCTCCTCAATTACACCAAGAACCTCGCCTTCGTCACCCAAACCCAATCCCTTCCCCTGCACTAACACCATGGTGTAACACCAGCTCATCACTAATACCATGTTGACCAGCTCAGCACTAACACTATGCTGACCAGCTGAGCAATAGCATCATGCTGACCAGCTCAGCACTAAGACCATGGTGGCCTACTCAGCACAACCACCATGGTGACCAGCTCAGCACAACCACCATGGGGACCAGCTCAGCACAAACACCATAGTGAACAGTTTAGTACTAACACCATGGTGACCAGATCAGCACAAACACCATACTGACCAGCGCAACACGAGCACCATGGTGACCAGCTCAGCACAAACACCATGGTGAGCAGCTCCGCACTAACTCCATGGTGACAGCTCAGCGCTAACATGGTGGCAACCAACTCAGCACTAACAACATGGTGACCAGCTCAGCACGAACACTATGCTGACCAGTTCAGCACTAACACCATGGTGACCAGCTCAGCACTAACACCATGGTGAACAGCTCAGCACTAACACCATACTGACCAGCGCAACACGAGCACCATGGTTACCAATTCAGCAATAACACCATGATGAGCATCTCCGCACTAACTCCATGGTGACAGCTCAGCACTAACATGGTGGTAACCAACTCAGCACTAACAACATGGTGACCAGCTCAGCACGAACACTATGCTGACCAGTTCATGACTAACACCATGGTGACCAGCTCAGCACTAACAACATGGTGAACAGCTCAGCACTAACAACATGGTGGTCTGCTCAGCACTACCACCCATGGTGACGAGCTCAGCACTAACACCATAGTGAACCGTTCAGCACTAACGCCATGGTGACCAGCTCAGCACTAACACCATGGTGACCAGCTCAGCACTAACACCATGGTGACCAGCTCAGCACGAATACCATGGTGAGCAGCTCAGCACTAGCACCATGGTGACCTGCTCAGCACTAGCACCATGGTGACCAGCTCAGAACTAACACTATGCTGAACTGCTGAGCACTAATACCATGGTGACCAGCTCAGCACTAACACCATGGTGACCAGCTCAGCACTAACACCATGGTGACCAGCTCAGCACTAACACCATGGTGACCAGCTCAGCACTAACACGATGGTGACCAAATCAGCACGAGCACCACGGTGAGCAGCACAGCACTAACACAATAGTGACCAGCTCAGCACTTACCCAACAGTGACCAGCTCAGCGTTCACACCATTGTGAACATCTTAGCACAAACACCATGGTTACCATCAGTGACTGCACGCATTGTGGATGTAGTGTAGATCTATACAGAGCCTCTGTTATTATTGTGGCTTTGTTTAGCATCAGGATGTCGTGTCTGACTCTGCACATTCTCATCCGTTGTTTAATGTGTGACCGTTTGATGAGGTATAAACTGACAAAGCTTTGCTTATGAAAAGTAATGTTTAATAACAATTGTGCAAGCTTATACATAATTAGAACACATTTATAATACTTCGTGCAGCTCTGGTCCCCACATTATAGAAGAGATGTAGAGTCACCGAAGATGGTGCGAAGGAGATTCACAAGGCAGATCCGAGAGCTGAGAGGTTATACCTATGAGGAATGGCTGAACATATATCTGGGACTTCGACTCTTTTCTCTTGAAAAGAGTTGGGCGAAGGTTGAACTGATAGCGGTCTTTAAAATGAATTAGACGTAGAGTAGACGTTGGAATGATATTTCCACTTGGAGGGGAGACAAAAATCAGTGGCCATCAATGTAAAACAATCACAAGTAGACCAAATAGGGAAGTTCGAAGCAGTTCCTTTACACGTTGAGTAGTGGGCATGTGGAACATGGTGCCAGAAGCAGCTGTTCAGGCGAATAAGCTATACATATCTAAGGGAAAGTTACACAGGTACATGAGCGAGAAAGGAGTAAAAGGTTTTGCTTGAAAGCGTAGTTGAGGGGGTTAGGAGGAGACTCATGTGGAGCATAAACACTGGCATAGACAGTTGGGCCGAAAGGCCTGTTTCTGCCTGGACTTGGTGGCATCAAAAATCCCACCCCCCATTCAGTGCGTGAATAATGTCAGCTTTGGGCAACCAGGAAACTGGGGATAAGTTACCCCGCAGTGGGTTCAACTGGGACGTCTTTCCGACGTGAAGGGCGCTACACAATTCTAATTTGTTGTTATATGTTGTTGTTGCCTTTCTGCGCACACAAAACCAAAATCAGACCCTCCCCATCCTCATTCGCACGCAGCCCCTCTCCATCCTCACTCACATCCAAACCCTCCCCCTCAAAAACAACAACAACATGATTGCATTTTTGTAGCGCCTTTCACGTCTGGATGACGTCCTAAGGCGCTGAAAAAGTACGACATTTCAGACTCGAGCTGGAGTCGGGTGGAGAAGGGCTGGGGAGTAGGGGAAGGGGCTTTCCCGATGACATTGTCTTCAGAGGTGAGGCAGTGGCGGAATCGGGATATGTTACTGAGTTGAGGGAAAGCAGATCTGGTCATGGCTTGAAATTGGGGGGGAAAAGACATTTGAGTGTTGAGCAAGTCACCTGGGTTCCTGCCTGGCTTGGTGAGTTGTAGTGTGCAACCAATGAGGTTGATGCTGCTGGAGCCTAAGTCGTAGAGGCGCTGGTGCGAGATAATCAAGACTGCCTCAATCTTGTTCACATTCAGCTGTAAGAAATTCGCCCTCATCCAGGACTTCATGTCCGACAGGCAGTCTGTCGAGACAGCAGTGGTCCTGGAGTTGAGTGTGGATGCAGAAAGATAGAGTTCGGTGTCATCCGCATACGTGCGGAAGTTGATCCCATGTCTGTGGCTGATGTCACCAAGGGATTCAGCCCCTCCCCATGATCATACACAACAAGCCCATCCCCATCTACGCCCAATCCCAACTCCTCAACCTACGCTCCCATACCCAGCCGCTCCTCTTTCTCCTTAAATCCTCACCCAGCACTCCCACCTTCACCGACATTGAGACCTTCCCATTCCTCAACCAAAGTACGCCCAGATTCTCTCAATCCAAAACCGCACCTACCCTTCCTCATTCTCACCTCCACACAGCCTTACACCCTCACCGACAACAAGTCGCCCCCACCCTCAGCCACAATCAATTCCTCGCCTTCGTCAAACACACCAAGCCCCTGCCAATCCTTAGCCACTCCAAGCCCCTCAAACACACCTTGACCCCACATCAACCCTACCCAGCACCACACGCCCTTTCACACACCTAACCCCATTCCCTCAAACATTCTTTCAATCGTCAACCACACCCTGCCTCTCTTTATCGTGAATCAAGTAGGAATCAGTTTGTTAGACGATTAGGGAATCATATTCTTCGGGATAATAACGGCTCCAAATAAATAAAATCGACTTGGTCACTCAATACACGACTGTTTGTGGGACTCTGCTGTGGGCAAATCGCTTCCGCGTTTCGCTCATATATATAATCTCAACTCACATTGACAATGAAGCGCATTGAGACATCCAGAAGACGTGAAAAACGTTATATCAAATGTGATTCTTATTATTATTTGAAAGAAATTCGATGGAAAGCAACTCATGAATGGGCCAAACTGTTTTTCTTTTTAGATGTTCATCAGATTTCAACATATTTTATTTTATTCCCAATATTTATTCACATAACAAATAAAATGCTTCTGAATAGCAAGTTTACAAGGCTTCCGTGGAGTAGAGCACATTGTGCATACTCAAACATATTTCATAACATATTTGTGACGTTTTGTCTTTCAACACACAAAATCTTTCAAAAGATCCCTTCTTATTTAGACGGAACAAGTGCATAATGCGGATTGGTTCATCATGTTATCAGGCTGTCCTTCATATGAATGCATTCACTGATATTTCTGAAGTTCTACTATGTGCGAAGTCAAGTCTTACCATAACTTTATGAATTTAGCAACGATACGAAATGGATAAACTATTCCTTTCCGAAGCTCTTCTCTGAACTTGGTCTGAGTCAAAGCATAAATGCAGGTGTTGGTACAGCAACTCAACCTTTGAAGCATGATTCCGGTTTCTTGCACTATGTACCGCATATTATTGGCAAATATTGCGGTGTAATTAAAATTGGAAAGTTGCCATTTGAAGGAATATGAAACAAAAGTTAACCAAAGCAGTATAAGACTACCCGATATGGCGAAGAGTAAAATGACGGATTTTCTTCGGTTTTCTAACTCTGGATCAATAGTTTTCTCAGCATTTCTCTGACCCAGAAGCCTCTTGCGGACCTTATTGGCCATCATAATGTGCCTGACAGTCAGAGCGTTAAACAGGCAAACGAAAGCAAAACCAAACATGGGAAGAACAATACGTTGAAGCCTTTCAAAAGCTTTCCAGGTGTCCAAGATATGGAAGCTTGATTTGGTGATGCCAGTACCACGGGGTGTTGTTAACTATAACATAAGAATCAAACGCAAAATAGCAGGGAATGCTCAGTGACCAGATGAAAATAGACAGAGTTACAATGACCACTGTGGCCATCCTCTCAGTGCAATATATTGGTTTCAGCTTTTGGCAACAAATGGCTACAAAACGATCGAAAGTGAAAGCCACAGTGAACCACAGAGAGCTGTGCATAGCGACACTAAGCAACACAATTCTCGTACTACACACTGGAGTGTAGAATAAGATATTTAGTGGGAAATACAGATTGTTTATTTTATTCAGCAGCACATCTACAAGGACAACCAGGAGATCAGCCGCCGCCATGGCTACCAAATAGCGAGTGATGCACTTGGAGAGACCGCACTTTCCTCTTAACAGGACCGCAATCGCCAGCAAATTAACTGCGAGATGCAATAAAAGCAGAAAACGTTATTTATACAAATAAAAATTGCTATGTTAAAAATTTAAAGATGTGTCATATACGGTTGCGTTTTCATTCAATGGAAGTGGCGATAAGAGAGCATAAGCAAACAAGAATTTTATAATTTCGTGCAACCATTTATCTTCCACAGTAAACATTGAAACACTACCTTATACAAATAATCAATCTTGACGTAAAATAATATTACCCACTAAAGTTATTGAGCTTTGGAATCATATTCCTCTGTTCCATATAACAATAATGTAGAAGATCTGAAGTAAGCTTTGTCAGGAATAAAATATTTTGGGAATTATTTGGTGTTGAGCTTTTGCTATATAGCTCCCGCAATATGGCTCAATTTGATTTTTAAATGCAAAACTAATCACTTCCTTTTAATAGCAGGTTATCTGGATTAAAACCTACATACATTATATCAGATTGGAAACCACTTTCGATTCAGAGACGTTATAATAGAACCAGAGAACTATACAACACAAAACAATCCATTCGGCCGAGAGGGTCTACAGTGGCTCGCAGAAGAAAATTTGTATCGGTTTTACTGCCCAAAATATCCATATAGCTTTCAAATGCTCTTTTCTTTAAAATCTTATCCAGTTACCCTTTAATCCCAAAATGGGCTATACCTCTATCGCAGTAATAGTCAGCCCACTCCACATCCCAACAATACTCTGAGCTAAAAGATCACCAAAAGCTCCCTATTTATTTCTTCTTGTGATTAACTTTTAACTTTGGCCACAAGGCACCGACTCACGATTGGTGCAAATAGTTTCTCACTCTTCACTCTTTCAAACTCCTACATAGTTGTATTCGTCTACGATGTCCCTTACCAACCTTCTATGCTCCAATGAAAACAGACCCAACTTGTCCAATCGTTCCTCATTACTAAAACCCATCATCGCTGGTGTCATTCTTGTAAAGCTTCTCTCAAGTCTCCAAATAATTGAGTGATTTCCTAAAAACTGATCGAATGCAAATCTCCAGCAGCTGCCTATGCAATCGTTGTTACAAAGTTAGAATTATTGCTTCAGTATCCTCCTCTACGCTCCTTTATGAACTCTATCGGCAAAAATTGCTTGCATATNAAAAAATAACTTTCATGCATGGAGCAACCCTTTGAGCTGAAAAGCAGAAGGGCTTGTCAGCAAGCTGGGGAGAGCGTGTGGAAGTGAATATTGAGTCCACCAAATAGTAAGGTATTCATATAAGATCTGAATACAGGTAAGTAGAGAACGCAGTGGAGGGATATAAGTAGACAGTTCTGGAGTCTGAGATGGGTAGTTTCTCAAACCACACCCACTGATGGTGAATTAACGGAGACAAGAATCATATGGAAGTGAAGCGAACTGATTCAAATCGGGGTAATATTGCGCAATGTAAGCAGATCAGAGAGATAAGGAGGTCAGGGAGGTGACAAGACTTGAATTGATTTGTGAGTAACGGTGAGGATTACGAAATCGATCCGTCAATCAATGAGCGTTTTAGTGTTGGGTATGAGACATGGTCTGAGGTGCGTAATGCAGACCATGAAATCGAATCAATCTGGTCAGAGATGTCGGGGTGATAGATAGTTCGGGATGTATCATGTCGTGTAGGTTGTGCCAATTTGGGAAGCTGTTGACACTTTACGGGTGTTCGTTACGAGAGGACACAAGTATAAGTGAGCGATGATGGGATCCAAAACAAATTGCTCTTCCCAGAGGATAGAGAGAATGAAGAAGTTGTTGCCTGAATTGATGAGATTATTTGGTGTATAGAAGAAGAAATTACGCATTCCACTGAGAAAGAGGGGGGATTTTAAGTTTGTCGGAGAGAGTAATGACTTCTACGCTTTACAACAACAACACCAAGATCAACTTGCACTTATCTGGCGCTCTGCATGCAGAGTAGCGAATCACACCACAGAAGAGTGGCGGACATCCATTGGTGGAGCGGAGGGTGCGAGGGACATGCATCAGGCGCTGTGTTGTGGAGTGTGGAGTGACGAGGTCGGATAGTTAAGCACTTGCCTTGGAGGTGCCATTATAAACGCCAACATGGTCAGATTCATCTCATTGTCCCCATTCCGTGCCGTGCAATCTTTGTACCTCTTTGTATGCCTTTTAACACAGCCCTTTCCACTGCTGATGCTACTTTCATAGATTAACATACACCTAATCCCTGGTACATTTGCTCCTATGCGCATTCCAAAATACTGCCTTTCGACACATACATATTTCTCTACGAACATGAATAACCTGATATGCCGCTTTAATAAATATCTTCTGTCACCCAATGCAGTAAAATGTTGATCATAGATAATACTGCGACCAAATAGACTTACCAGGAATTCCAAATGCTGCAAGAATGGGGTAGTAAATAGCAATTACTGTGTACAACGTTGGATGTTCCATGCTCACTGTTACTTATTGATGCCGATGGCAGAGACTTCAGTGAAAACACTGCCGTCACATTGAACTAAATTTGTACTTATAGGGAACGTGACAATACATATTGCATCAGGAATGCCATTAGTTCCAGACGAATGAACAAACAAGATGACGTGTTCGCTTGAGAGTTGCATATGTAATACTCGGATTAAATTTGTTATCGTGAATTGAAAACTAGACACATAAAACCACATAAAAAATTAAGCGTAGCATAAAATAAATGCAGAAAGAAAGGAACAATATTATTTAAAACATCTTACAGGAGTTACAAGAAGAACAAATAGAGCTATATCGAAAACAACAAATTACACTTGCACAGTGCACTTCATGTCGCAAAGGTGTTCCAGGGCTCTGGACAGTCAGGATTTCTTGCATCTATATCTGGCGAATATGATGCAGAATTATCGCGGGTAGTGCATGGGATTGTGTAAAGTTAAAAATACATTACCCTCACCTACTTGAACATAGAATTGAACATAGAATATTGAGACCCGAGGAAGGGATGTTTGCCAAGTGGGTTGGAAAGGGAAAGATAAACAAGAGGGTGGTTAATAAGGAACGTCTTTATACGGACTATGATAGAGAGGCGTGAGCAAGCGAGTCCTGGTTTCAAAAATAATAACAACAACAATTTGCATTAACAAACCACCCCTCGCGTAGCGCTTCGGGGTATTCTGTGTTAATATATTAATAATCCTTGCAGTTGACACAGCGCTCTTCTGGACGTCTTAATACGCCTCACAGAATGTGCTGCAACATGAACTCACCGTATATTTGAGGGCGAAACGCGGCAGACCATTGCGCATAGCAGTGTCCCACAAACAGTAGTGGATTGAAAATGTCCAATTTATTATTGTTTTGCTTTGGAGGAATTATTGTCAGGCGTGTGTAGTTAGGAAACTTGCCAGGAGTTACGCCCTGCCTGGAATTCAACCCAAGTTATCGCTTGCAAGGCGAATGCTTTAACTACTGAGCTGCAGAACTTCAGTCTGGGATTGAGTTACAGAGAGTGGGCGGGCAGATAGTCCGAAATCCAGATCACTGCTGGTGGGACAGAGGATGTTCATCTTACACGACAATGTGCATTCAAGGAAGACACGCACTGCATAGTGGACTGCAGAGAGGGGTGTGTTTATTCGCTCAGTACAACAACAACAACAACAACAACAAGATTCCATTTATAGAGCGCCTTTCACGTCAGGAGGACGTCCCAAGGCGCTGCACAGTTGGGTCATGACCCGAGCAGGGGGGAAATGGTCAGGGTGAGGGGAGGGAAGGGAGGGAGAGAGGAAGGGGAAATGGTCAGGGTGAGGGGAGGGAAGGGAGGGAGCGAGGAGGAGGAAGAGAGTCGAGAGGGGAGCTGAAGGCACGGTCAAAGAGAAAGGTTTTGAGACCGGCCTTGAAGGAGGAAAGGGAGGAAGCAAGGCGAAGGCACTGGGGGATGGAGTTCCAGAGCCTCGGGGCTGAGAGGCTGAAGGCCCGACCACCGATAGTAGGGCGGTTGGGGCGGGGGACGTGGAGCAGACCGGAGCCAGAGGAACGGAGGGTACGGGCAGGTAGGTAGGGGGATAGTAGGTTGGAGAGGTAGGAGGGAGCAAGGCCGTGAATGGCCTTGTAGGTGAGGATGAGGATCTTGAAATCAATCCTCTGGGGGATGGGGAGCCAGTGGAGGCGAGCGAGGGTGGGAGTGATGTGGTCCCGAAGCCTGGTGCGGGACAGTACACGAGCTGCAGAGTTCTGAATGACCTGCAGCTTGTGGAGGGAGGTGGCGGGAAGGCCGGCGAGGAGAGAGTTCCCATAGTCCAGCCTTGAGGTGACAAAGGCGTGAACCAGGGTTTCAGCAGCGTGAGGGGTGAGGTAGTGCCGTAATCTGGCGATATTCCGGAGGTGATGGAAGGCGGTGCCAGTTGTGGTGCGGATGTGAGGGAGAAAGGACAGCTCAGGGTCGAACAAAACGCCGAGGTTCCTGACTGGCTTTGAGAGGTGGAGAGTGCAGCCTTGGATGCTGATGGTGTCAGCGCCTGAGGTGCGGAGGCGCTGACGTGAGCCAATCAGGAGGGCCTCGGTTTTTTGCACGTTGAGCTGAAGAAAGTTGTCTCTCGTCCAGGACTCGATGTCGGACAGGCAGGCTGTCAGGACATCGGTGGTCGTGGAGTTGAGAGTAGAGGAGGAAAGGTAGAGTTGGGTGTCATCCGCATACATGTGGAAGTTAACTCCATGTTTGCGGATGATGTCACCAAGGGGGAGCATATAGAGGGTGAAGAGGAGGGGACCGAGGACAGAGCCCTGAGGGACACCACATGAGACAGTACGGGGGGTGGAGGAGAAGCCATTCGTTGAGACGAAGTGAAGACGGTGAGAAAGGTACGACCTAAACCATTCAAGGACAGTGCCTTGAAAGTTGAGGTGGGAGGACAAGCGGTGGAGTAGGATAGTGTGGTCGACCGTATCGAATGCAGCCGATAGGTCGAGTACGCAACATACCTCAGTCGCGTCTGATCATTGTCATGATGTTTGTGTCATCTCATACACACATCCTTTTCCATTGAGCAATGGGTCCATTGGTCAATGTTGCAGCGTTTGAGCAGGAGCTGCGTAAATTTCTGTGGGTATAACGAGTCCTCAGTATGGCAGAATAGAAGTATAAGAAACAATATGACGTCATTAAGGCAGCTAATAATAATAATAATAATAATAATAATAATAATAATAATAATCCTTGCATTTGTTGTAGCTCTTTTCACGTCGGGAGGACGTCCCAAAGCGCTTTACAGAACAAACTGTAAAGTGAATTGACTGTATATTTGTGAGCGAACGCGGCAGCCAATTGCGCACAGCAATGTCCCACAAACCGTCGTAGATTGAAAATGACAAATTTATTATTATTTTTTTTTGGAGGGATTACTATTAGGCGTGTGGCGTAAGGAAACTTGCCCAAGGTTTCGCCCTATGCCTGGAATTGAACTCAGGTTTCTTGCTTGCTTGCTTGCTTGCAAAGCGAGTGCTCTCACCACTGAGCTACAGGACTCCACTAAGTAAAAATAGTAAAGTATTAATTACGGATAGTACATTTACCATCTAGACTCATTGGCAGAGAGAGTAAGAGCAGGAGTCAATGAAAGAATGTATTCTTAGCAACTTGTGCAACAATCGTTTCTGTCTCAATCTACAGGAGCTTTAAGAAGTGAAAAAGCTCTGCTATGCTTACTTATGGGCTGGGCCTATAGAAAAGATCGTCCTCAATTTGACGACGGAATCCGCTGTAGCATAACCCTCTGCTACCAAATATCCCACCTGCTATAAACAACGAGCACGTATAAAATGAAAAGGAGAGCACCAAGTACAGAGCCCTGAAGAGCGCTACACGAGACTGTGCGAGGGCAGGAGAAGAAGCCATTTGCTCAGACAAACTGGATATGGTGTGAGATGTAGGATCTGCAACACTCAAAGGCAGAATTTATAACATTTAGTTAAGAGGAGAGGAGGCAAGTGCTCAGGAGCACTCCGTTCCTCACACACTGCCTATCGGCATCAAGTCCTGGATGAGAGCTAAACTTTTCTGCTTGACGGTCAACAATTTCGAGGCCCTGCTGTTTGGTTCCCGTCAACGCCTCTGCAACTCGGGCGCAGAAAGCATCAACCTTCTTGGATGCACTCTGTATCTCACGGAGCCAATATTGAACTCGGCGTCCTTTTCGACCCACAACTATCCTTTATAACACGCATTCGTGCCACGAACAGCTACTACTTTCCCTATTTCGGACACATTGCCTTTCTGCAACATGATCTCTCATCACAGACCACCGAGATCCTCATCCACGTTTCCATCACATACAGGAATCGACGACGAAAACTTGGTGACCCCCGCATATCCTTACTAAACAGGCTGCAAGTCTCCCAGAACTCTACAAACTGTGTCCTCCAATCCTCGCATTGCTTCACTGGCACCACTTAACTCAGAGGATACAGTTCAATATCATGATCCTCACTTTCAATGTCCTCCACAGCCTTGCTCCCACTTGCTCTGTTACCCGCTAACTTCTGCCAATCATTTCACTGCCTTAGCTCAGTGGGCTACAGCTTGCTTCATCTCACACACTTTGCCCGCACCATTATTGTGGAGATTACCTTAAGCCTCTCTACCCCCACTACCACTCAATCGGGCCCGCTTTCTTGGCTCATTCAAGACCCGTCTCAAGTTTCTCCTCTTCAAGCGTTTCTTCGGTCACCGTAACCGAGATTTTCTACAGGTTATTTAATCCATCTGCAAGCTCCCCCCATGATACAACAAGCACTGATTTCAGCCAGCATCCTCTCATGTGGTCTTCATGAAAGCATTTCGGGAAATTGAAATACACTCTATGCACTACATTTCAATTGTCTACTTCTGTTGCATCCCAGATAATTCCTTAAGTTTTGTCAACAAGAAATTCTTTTTAATATCCATAATGGCTATTGCTAAAAACATATCCTGCTCCAGATATAATAATAATAAAATAATAATAATAGCAACAACAATAAAACAATAAGAACAATAATAATGATAATAATAAAAATAATAATTCTCATAATTAAGATAAGGCAATTCACTCAACCGCTGGGCAGGGCAGGGGCAGAGGAACATTGAACCTGGAAGTTACGAACTGAGGCTGGCAATTTGGCTGAGGTCGTAGAAAATGACCTTTACTCCCTCCAGTCAGCGGACTCCGGCCTGATCCAATTCCTCCGCTTCACTAAAGGCAGTCTGGCCTGCAGCCTGTTTGACCCCCATCCTTTGGACTCTACCACACAGTACCATCAACTTGCCCCCTACTTTATCTCGTTGAAGGCCGTCTGAAGATCCTCTTCTTCGGTCGCTACTTCGGCCACTCTCTTATATCTACCAACCCTCCACCCACACCTCCTAAACTCAAAATCGTCCACAGATCCAAATCCATGTCTGTCCATCGCAATGGGATATCCTA